TCAGAAATAGATCTGTCTTTGTTTAGCGATACTACTAAGATTTTTAGGGCTTTTCCCCTGTTAAAGATAGGCATCTACAATGGTTACTTCGTGTAGAAAAAGCAATGAGCTCTTCTTGGGTAGAAACTGGAATATTCGAGTTTATCCAACTTGCAAAATTTGATCTGCATCTCTTCGACCCTCAAATGCCCCTTTCTGCAATTTTCTTTTGGAATAGAGAGACTCGAGCCTTCGAGTTCCCTTGTGGTTTCGTTTGTCCTACACTGTTGGATATTGCAGCAATAATCGGCCTAACCCCTATAGGAGATAGATTTCATCCTGATGCTTTCGAAGAAGAAATTTTGATCAAGGAGGTTTCGATTACCTGGGATAAGAAGACTTATATAGCTTTCATTAATGCTCATGTAGGACAACCTGGTACCCCTGTTTCAGAGTCTGAACATATCGCTTTTTTGATGTATTGGTTATCTGCTTGTGTTTTTTGTACTCCCTCTCTTCAGGTTCCGAAATATTATTACGTTTTAGCACAAGCCTTACACTTAAAAAAGAAGATTTGTTTAAGTAAACTTTTATTAGCTTCTCTATATACATGTCTCGATGAAGCCTCGGAAAGCCTTTTCCGAGAGTCTGGCCCTCAAAACCTCTCTGGACCCTTATGGCTAATACAATTATGGTTGAATGCAATTTTGGAAAGAAAACTTTCACTGACCTCGTCTTTCACTCCAACATGGGAACTTGAAGGAGCCCGTCTAATCACGCTTACTCCTCGAAAGCGTTTAATTGACAACTTCGCGAAATATATTGATGCAATCCTCACTTTCAGCCAGTTTAGCAAAGACTTGGCTCCTTTCATACGCACCTCTTTAATAGGTCCTCCTTGGCTTTGTCGAAATAATCAAGTTTGGAATATGACACCGGATTCTGTCGAGATGTGGTTTGGGTTTTTATCCTGGGATGTGATCATGTCAGGCATGCGACAAAAGGATGTTAGAATTTACCCCTACCAACCTCAACTTTTTGCTCGACAATTTGGACTTTGTCAAATGAAACCTCTTCCTGTTCGACGCAAAGAGAGTATAGATGCTGATATTTGTGTTGAAAGGGGGAATTATGAAGAAGTGTTAGATTTCATCTTGCGTCCTGACAAACAACTCCGCCTCGCACCTTGCTCTTTTTATCCTTCTTTCTTAGTTTCTAAATGCTTTCTTCGTTGGTGGTATGAGTACTATGTTGACAAAATTATCGACTTCGATGAGTTTTTGAAGAAGTTGATTAATTCTCCAGTTTCTTTGCAGGGCCCTAAACAATTAGGTACTTTCAAGAACCGAACTATTATTTATCAATTCGAGCAATTTTTTAGGGTTTGTTATCGGCCCGACAACGTTGGTCGAACCATCTTCGATGCATCTGTCTCTTTATCGAAAATGGTACAAAGGAACATCCGCTCGAAAAAGGTGATCAATCCTCGAGGAAAAACTGATTTTGAAAAATTTTGTCCTAAACATATACCCCCTCTTCCAAATGCTCTTTTTGGTTTAGTTAAACATTTATCTCGCCCATCTTGGGTGAAGACTCTCGACCCACTTTACTTTGAGCGTAAAGAGATCCCTATAAAGAATCGAGTTACCTATGCGAGATGTTCCCTGTACGATTTTCCTCGAAGACGATGGTGGCCATTGTGTTGGGTCGATAACACCAATCCTCCCCCTGGTAATTGACTCTTAACTAAGAAACTGTCTCGAATTCCACTTTGTACTTATCTCATCATCTTTCTATGTTTATGCATCATACAACTGCTATTCCTCAACATGTTCCACAACACGTTGAACAAACTCCCAACTGGGAGAGTGATGATGATAATGATGCCAAAGGGTCTGATGGAGGACCATCCATGGTACTTCATGTGAAACCCATCACATGGTCCAATGCTATGACTAATTTTGAGTAGTGTAGGATTTATTTGGTTTATTCCAATTTTACCCTTGTATTTTGGGGTATTTTAGTCATAGGATTTATTTTCTTTGTATTTCCTATTTTACCCTTGTATTATGGGGTGCTTTAGATAATTAGGGTTTTCAATTTTTGGGCTAGGGTGTTTTAGAGGAGGTGACGCAATTTTTGGCAAAGTTTGGACCTATTTTTGGTGTTAGAAAGGCTTAGGCCCAAGTGGAGGGCAAAGGTTGCATGGTCTTATCATGCACCTTGTTATAGCCAATCTAAACCCATAGATTCCAAACTTGGCCACCAAGTTGCATCTAGGGTTAATTTGGCATTGCATTTGGAGTGCATTTGGCCTTGGCATTTTCGGCCATGCAACCCTAAATGCAACCCTAAATGCAACTCCTCCTATAAAAACCCCACACCCCACCACTTGTAAACACTTTGGATTATATGA